GTATGACTATATATCTCTACCCGCTTTCTCTTCTCTGCTCCAGATAAGCACATGAAACACACTAGCTGGGAAGGCTGGCATAAAAAGGCAGCGTAAGACCTATTGAAGGTGTTTGTCTCTCTGCCTCTCTATCTCTCAGTCTCTCTCTCCCTCTCATGAAAGAAATGAACTTAAAAAAAAAAGATCTGCCTGCAGCCCACTTCTTTAATTCATCTTCTATCACTGCCACCCTCATCTGCTTCACTAGGATCACATAGGACCTCTGTGCACTAGCTACACCATCTGCCTCAGAGTATTCTTACCCCAAGTCTTTACACATTAGATTGCTTCTTACTATTTTAAGAGGGGGGAATATTTGGAAAAGGAACTGATAAACTAAAAGAAATTTAAGAGAAATAATCCAATTATAATACACAGCCCTTATTTGGTACCTAATTCAAAAATACTGTTTAAATAGAAAGAAATAGGGACCAGCAGTTGGAGTAATGACTATGTAGCTGGACTCCCATGTGGTTGACTGCAGTCCGAGTCCCAGACCCGGTGGCTTAAACTCACTCTGGGTACGGGTGAGTGAGTGTCCAGGATCCTAAAAGGAGAATAGAGGAGAAGGGATTGCAACGTGGCCATCCCCCCAGGGGGTGATTTCTTGCTTTCTGTCTCTCTGTCTCTGTCTTTCTGGCGAGTGCCCACACCCTATAACAAAAATCTCTCCCCCCGAAAATAAATAAATAAATAAATAGAAATAATTTAAACTTTGAAACTTCTATGTTCTAATAATTCAAATGTTTTAGATGAAATTATTTAGGTATAACTCTGCTACGCTTTATGGTGTTTTAAAACAGTCTGTGTCTTTTAGGGACATGTACTGGAACAGTTACGGGTGAATGACATAATGCTGGAAGGTTCACTTCAAAGTAATGTGGAGCAAGAGCAAAGAAAGTGGGTAGGGATGAGGTCAGCAGGTGGCATGGTGGTTATGGGCGCTGGACTTCCACATGGCTGACCACAGTTCAAGTCCCAGACCTGGCGGCTTGCTTTCTTTTTTTTCCCTCTGCCTGCCCCCCTCACTCTGTCCCTCCTGGGTCAAATTTAAATAAATAAAGTTAAATAAAATAATTCTTAAAAAAGGAAAGACAGAAAGAAAGAAAGTGGGTAGGGATATACAGTCATGCACTACATAATGATATTTTAGTCAACAACAAACCGCAATGGTGACCCCATAAAATTACACTGGAGCTAAAAATCTCCTATCACCTGGTGCTGTTGTCGCTATTCTACACTGTAAAGCAAAACATTCACGGTTTTGTGGTGATGCTGGTAGAAACAAACCTGCTGCACTGCCAACCGCATAAAAGCACACATCCTTCAGGAGTATTCCAGAAGAAGGCATTGTTATCATACGGGATGACAGTCCCATGAGGGCTACTGCCCCTGAATGCCTTCCAGTAGGACACGAAATGAAAGTGGAAGGCAGTGACAGTGATGATTCTGATCTGTGTGTGTCTAGGCGACTGTGTGTGTTTGTATCTTAGCTTTTAACTAAAAAGTTATAAATACATCATTTTGAAAATAGAAAAAAGCAGGGCCAGCAGGTGGCATGGCGAGTTAAGGCGCTGGACTCCCACATGGCCAACCATGGTTCATGTCCTAGACCTGGTGGCTTGCTTTCCCATCTTCCCTTTCTCTCTCTCTCTCTCTTTCTCTCTCTCTCTCTCTTTCTCTCTCTCTCTCTCTCTCTCTCTCTCTCTCTCTCTCATCAAATTGAAAAAACAATAATTATTTTTTTTAAATAGGAAAAAAGATAAGCATACAAAGTAAAAAATATTTTTGTATGGCTGTGCGATCTGCTAGTTTATTTGGGGGGTGTAATTTTGCTATAGGGCATGTACACTAGCTAGAGAGAGAAAGAAACACAAAGAGAGTAACAAAGCAGCTCCAGGGGACGACCACACCCCTCCATTCTCCTTTCAGGGTTTTGGGCACACGCGCACACACATATACACAAGCTCCGCATGTTTTTCAAACCACACAGTCAGTCATGTGGGACATAGCTGCCTTAACCATCATGCCCCTGGCTGTTGTTACAACAGAGCCAAAAAGCCAAAAAGAAAAACAAAAAAAAGATTTTTAAGTAAAAAATTACAATAGGCTAAAGTTAATTTTTATTTATCATTATTCTTATTTTTTCACTTGCTATAGGGCACCTGCGTTCATCAGAGAGAGGAGTAAGATGGAGCAAGAAAGTGAGAAAGCAAGCTGCCAGGTCTGGGACTTGAACTGCAACTGGTCATATGGGAGTCTAGTGCTCCAACCACTGCGCCACCTGCTGGCCTAAAGTTGATTTATTAATTAAGAAAGAAACTATAAATTTAGGGCAGCCTGGACTATGGGTAGTTAAAGGCACTGGACTTCCACTTTGGCAACCGTGGTTTGAGTTGCAGACCTGGTGGCTTGAAAAATGATGCAGGAGTATGTGTGTACGTGCCCAAATCCCAAGAGGAGAAGGAAAGAGAAGGGGCTGCAACGTGACCATTCCACCTGGGGGGTGATTTCTCAATTTCCATCTCCCTTTTCTCTGGTGAGTACACACATTTCATGGCAAAAACCTATGGGAAAAAAAAAAAGGAGAAAGAAAATCACGCTGAGGCCGTCTGTGTGTGTGTATACATGGCCAAATCCCAGGAGGAGAATGGAGGAAAAGGGATTGCAGTGTGGCCATCCTCCTTGGGGGACTAATTTCTTTTTCCCTCTCACCGTCTCTCTCTAGTGAGTACACATGCCCTATGGAAAAAAAAAAAAAAAAAAAAAAAAAACTTACCAAAAATAAAAGAAAAACATTTAGTGTAGCCTAAGTATACAGTGTTGACAAAGCCTATAGCAAGCGTGTATAGCAATGTCCTCGGCCTTCACCTTCGCTCACCACTCGCTAACTGGCTCACTCAGAGCACATTCCAGTCCTGCGAGTTCCTTTCATGGTAAGTACCCTATATACATGTACCTTTTTAAAAAATCTTTTATAATTAACTGTACCTGTTCTATGTTCAGATATGTTTATATATATAAATATTCACTATATATTACAACCACCTATAGTAATGTGCTATATAGGCTTGCGGCCTAGGAGCAACAGGCTATACCACAATCTAGATTTGCGTAAGACACTCTGTGATATTCTCACGAGGGTAAAATTGCCCAACGACACGTTTCTTAGAATGTATTCCTAGCATAAAGTGATGCAATCTGTAACTGAAACAAGACTAATCATGAATTGATAATTTTCTGAAGATGAGTGATGAAGGAATGGGGATTCATTAGATCAGTCTCTACCTCTGTAAATGTTTGAAATGTCCTACAATAAAAACTTAATTGAAAGCCAACCAACAGTACCAGCAGTTGACATAATGGTTATGTCACTGGACTCCCACATAGTCGACTGTGGTTAAAGTCCAGGACACACCTGGCACGTGTGTGTGCGTGCCCAAAATCCCAAGAGGAGACTGAAGGAGAAGGAATTGCGGATTTCTCACTTTCTGTCCCTCTGTTTTTCTCTGTCTCTCTGGTAAGCGCACGTGCCCTCTAGCAAAAGTCTCTCTAAATAAGAAAGAAAAGTCAACCAACTACAGAGGCCAGCAGGTGGCATAGTGGTTAAGGTGCTGGACTCCCACATGGCCAGCCACAGTTCAAGTCCTGGACCCAGGGGCTGGAAAATCATGCCAGGTGCATGTGCATGCCCCAAATCCCAAGGGAATAGAGGAGAAAGGATTGCAGTGTGGCCATCTCACTTTCCCTCCATCTGTCTCTGGCAAGTACACATGCCTGTGGGGAAAAAAAAAAAAAAAACAGCGAACCAACTACAACATTATTTTCTTCTTGATATGTAAATACCACTGTGTAGTTTTTAATTACTCATTTCGTGTTGTATATCTCCCACTAACAAATAAGCTCTATAAAGCCAAGGGCCTGGTCTTCTTCACTGCTATTATCCCCATGCCTAGAACAGGTTCAGATGCTTAACATTACTAAATGAATCAACAAATAAAATACCGAGCCTCTTTTAGAGTTTGAAAAGATTTAACTCCACTACGGTCAACAAAGCATCAGAGTGAGAGGGGCCTGCCGTCAGCCAGCAGGGGCTTACCTTCACTTCTATGAAGTCGGGGTTCCCCAGGCACACGAGCTCCGCATAGGCCTGCAGTTCATCTACATTCCACGCCTTCACAAGGGTCAGCCTATAGACAGTGCGCTGTTGCTAAAATGAAGGAAAAGTCAACTTTGTTTTCATCTTGGTTAAAGTCACCTCTTAGGGGGATTCTTAATCTTTTCAAACCATAGAGAACCCAGGTCAGGTGAAACCCAGCAGGAACTGTGCAAACTGAAATTCTATCTTGTAGAATGATGAAAAAAATGTAAAAGATGTGATTAGCTTCTAATTGCCCGTTCGAAGACATAGACACTGGCGTATTTCTTTACTCTCCCCCTCACAAGAGGTAATATTATGTTAGGTATGCAAAAATTTTCTCAAAATATATACACTGAATTAGATACAGTAAGAATAAAATTACCAAATAGATAGAAAATGAATTCAAATAACTTTCAGGCTTTCAGGTAAGCTTTTTTTCTTTTTTATTTTTTTGGAGAGGTTTTTGCTACAGGGTGTGTGTGTACTCGCCAGAAAGACAGAGAGACAGAGACAGAAAGCGAGAAATCACTCCCCAGGGGGGATGGCCACGCCACAATCCCTTCTCCTCCATTCTCCTCTCGGGATCTTGGGCACACATGCACACGCGCCCGGCATGAGTTTAAGCTACCGGGTCCGGCACTCGACCCGCAGTCGACTACATGAGAGTTCAGTGACATAGCCATTACACTAACTGCTGGTCCCTCAGGTAAGTTTTTAATGACAAGAAATGTTTATGCATATCCTCTTTCCTGCTTTCTCATAATTTAATGATCTCTTGGCATTTCTTAATAAAAAAGACACATTTATGGACTGGCGATGTTACCATTTGTTTAACGTATACTCAAAAGAGGTACTGGCTTTCTAAAACATCATTACATAATCATCATTAAAGTCTTTAAAAAATACCCTTGACTTTGTAGCTCTTTTCTAGAACTCAAAACAATGATCAAACATTCAAAGACTTTCTTTAAAAAATTCCAAAACAACATTATTAATAATAGCTTAAAACCTAAAGTGAGGGACCAGCAGTTAGCATAATGGCTATGTCGCTGGCCTCCCACATAGTCGACTGTGGTTCAAGTCCCGGACCAGGTAGCTTAAACTCACGCCGGACACATGTGCGTGCATGCCCAGGATCCTGAGAGGAGAATAGAGGAGAAAGGATTGCGGCGTGACCACCCCCCCTGGGGGGTGATTTCTTGCTTTCTGTCTCTCTGTCTGTCTCTGTCTGTCTGGCGAGTGCACGCGCCCTATAGTGAAAACCTCTCAAAAAAAAAAAAAAAACCTAAAGTGAGATCCCCCTTGAGTGGGAGCAGAACCTGTGACTTGCCCGTAACTAAGGGAACATGGCAAACGTGGTAGGACGTACATGGTTATGTGCACACACATCTGTAGCAAGCTTCCAGGTGATACCCATGCTACCAGATGTCAAACCACAGCCCAAGTAGCAAGACTCAAAATACTTAAGAGAGAAATAAAGTGATATCAACTTCTTCACTTTTGTCTGTTAGAAAGTTTCCATGATCAAGGAAAAAAGAAACACTTAAGATCTTTAATAAAGAAAGCCAAGAGATCTTTAACAAAGAGCATTAGACAGCCACACCATAAAATGGTGTTTTCCAAGCATATTAACTGTTTCAAGAGTTCTTTTAAAAATGCAGAATATAATGCAAGAAAAGAAAGAAATCTTCCAGATTCCCTTTACAGAGCTAGAATTCTTCCAATGCCAAAGCCTAGCAAAAATAGTGAAAAGCTGCAGAGCAATCTCACTTATATATGCAAAGATCTGATAGAAATTTTAGAAAATAAAATTTAGCACTGTGTTAAAAATTCGAGGAATGCACACATGACTCAATATGAAGTGATACACGAGTAATACTATTTGTCATACTAATAGTTCAACCCAGAAAAACTATGTGATCATGTTCACAGAGATTCAAAGACGCCTGTCATCATTGAAGGTCATCACTGATTTTAAAACGAAAGAGACTGAACAAATCAAAAACCACTTGGTAAATTTGAAAATTAAACACAACTTTAATGTAAGAAGTCAATGTCATTCTTAGTGGCTTAAAAAGGCAGAGGAAGTACCAGCAGTTAGCGTCATGGCTATGTCGCTGGACTCCAATGTAGTCGACTGCTGTTCGCGTCCCGGACCCAGTGGCTTAAAACTCATGCTGGGTGCGTGTGCGCGCGTGCCCAAGATCCCGAGAGGAGAATGGAGGAGAAGGGATTGCGGCGTGGCCATCCCCCCTGGGGGGGTGATTTCTCGCTTTCTGTCTCTCTGTCTCTCTCTGTCTGTCTGGCGAGCGCACGCGCCCTATGGCAAAAACCTCTCAAAAAAAAAAAAAGGCAGAGCAATTTCCCTTTAGTCAGACTACCAGAAGAATGGCCGTTCTTATTTTTAAAACCTTTCTTGAAAGCTATAACCAAAACACTAAAGCCAGTATGGGAATTACTGAAGAGTATTAAAAAAATTAGTTGCAAATAATATAACTGGCTTCTTGGAAACCTAAGAGAATCAACTAAAAAATCAGATTAGAAAAATTGTCCAGTTATATGAAAATCAATAGTTGGTGAGTTAAATTTGGACTCTACGGCCAGACTAAATCCCAGACCACATACCTATCTGTTCTCAGTTCCTCCCTATATAAAATAGGAATTGTACACAGGATAAAAAGTGTTAATCAAAATAACACTTAGATCCAAGCCTGGCACCAGTTAAATCATACGAAGAATTAGCTATGATATGCCATCAATGACCAATTACAAAATATAAGATAAAGATTATTCTTTGCTTTTTTTTTTCCTTTTTTTTTTTTTTTTCAAACTTGCTACAGGGCACATGTGCTCACCCACACCACATAACCCTCTCCTTCACTCTCTTCTCAGAATTTTGGGCACTCACACACACTCACCTGGCATGTTTTTAAAGCTGCCAGGTCCAGAACTCAAACAGTGCAGTCAGCCACATGGGATCTAGGTACCTTAACCACCACGCCATCGGCTGGCTCAAGAATATTCTACTTACAATTATAAAATATTAGGTCATCAGAAACATCATGACACATTCTCCTATGTTTTTCTACACAAAAATGTGTCACACCTTTTCCAGTGACCCAATACATCTCTAAGAGACTCAGTGATTAACTTATGAAACATGAAGGAGTGTGACTAAAACAAATTCTCCTGAGAGACGTACAGAAATACTCACCTACATGGAAAGGAAAGCTAAATCATAAATAAGATGCAATTCAAGTGGGAGTTTATAATTCCTTTGAACAAATAAACCAGCAAGGATACCAATAATAGAAACAATAGGGAGAATAAGGAATTAGTCAGCACTTACTACGTGCCAGCTGTTGCTACAAAATGCTTTGTATCTTAGCAAAGATTCTAACATTTGTGTGGTCTTTACAACAAATCTTACAAAATAGATTTGATGGGAACCAGCAGTTAGCGTAATGGCTATGTCACTGGACTCCCACGTAGTCGACTGCGGTTTGCGTCTCAGACCCGGTAGCTTAAATCTCACGCCGGGTGCGTGTGCGTGCGTGCCCAAGATCCTGAGAGGAGAATGAAGGAGAAGGGATTGCGGCGTGGCCATCCCCTCTGGGGGTGATTTCTCACTTTCTGTCTCTATGTCTCTCTCTGTCTGGCGAGCGCACGCACCCTATAGCAAAAACCTCTCCAAAAAAAAAAAAGAGAAATAGATTTGATAATTATCTCTTTTATAGTTTTTTTTTAGAATTCTTTTATTTAATTTATTTATAAGTTATTATTTTTTTCAATTTGACCACAGAGAGACAGAGAAAGGGAGGGAGAGTGAGAAGACAAACTGCCAGATCTAGTTGGCCATGCGGGAGTCCAGCACCTTAACTACCACGCCACCTGCTGGCCCTAACAATTATCTTTACAGATACAAAACTGAGGCCAAGAGCTGTCAGGTAAATTGCCCAAAGTCGCACAGCTGGAAAGCAGCAAGCTGGGATACAAACCCAGGTAGTGGGAATTTTAGAATAGGCTCTCTCTCACTTTACTAAACCTTTTTAAACTGGAAGATAAAAAACATGAAGAGAAAAATGAAAACAAAACATGAACGTATTATTCAAAGGATTATCAGAAAATACCTAGCACTCAGACCCCCCTACTTTTCCTCCCAGTCACTATCCACTTCCTTCACCCTAAAGATAACTAATATCTTGACTTCATAGTTTAGTTTTCAGCCTATGTTTGAAATTTATAAAAATGGAATCATATACTATTTTGTGTATGGCTTTTATTACTTGACACCGTGTTTATAAAAGTCATCTGTGTTGCTGCATGTTGAAGTATGTTCATTTTCTTTGTTATCTAGTACTTCAATGCATGAATATAAAACAATTCCCTATTGGTAGGCATTTAGATTGTTCCCATGTAGTGGCTATCATGAAAAAATTCTGTTATCTCTTTTAACACAAGAGTTTAGTTTTACCTATTTAAGGAGATTATATAAAATGCTACTGTGACATGCGTTCTTTTATGTCTTGATTTTTTTCAATATATTCAATGTTTGTAAGATTCATTTATACTATTTTAACATAGTTTGTTAAATTTCTATCTTTTTACATTTTTTTTAAGAATTATTTTATTTAACTTTATGTAGTTAGTTTAATTTGACCAGAGAAGGACAGAGTGAGAGAGAAAGAAAGTGAGAAAGTGAGCCACCAATCCAAGGCTCAAACCGCAGTCAGCCATGTGGGAGTCCAGCCTCCTTAACCACCATGTCACCTGCTGGCTCCAAGTAACATTTCTATTGCCATATGGCGTGGATTATACAGTTGACTGTGGAGAGTGGCCAATCTGAGAAAACATGGTGACCTTAAGATGCATACAGAAAGTCTTCTGTGCGTTTCATTAGCAATGGCTATGAGAGCATTTGCATATGAAAACGCTATCTGCCTGTTGCTGGTTATCTTCCTGTTGCTGTAGATACCTGATACCTGATATCCAATACTGTAGGGCAGCAGAGGCTAAAGGAAGCCACATGTTTATCAGATTTTGCCCCAAAAAGATGAGAGAAATAACAT